TAATGCTTCCCAGCTTTTGGCATTTAAACCATAACTTTTACTAATAAATTTTTTTGTAGTACAAGTTGGTACTATAGCCTCCGTTGATCCACCACTTTCCACCCAAATTGAGCATCTTTTAATAAATAATTAAAATAAAGAAATTGTCACCTGTAATATAAGCGAGTTTTGATAGTTGAAAAGAAAATGTTACACCAAAGATTTGTACTTATAAATAGGATATATAGCCCACATGTTAATCAACGTTTGATACATGAACTAATTAATTTTAGAGAGGAAAGTTGGTAATTACAGTCCTGTACCTTCAAAAGTTAAGATCTAGGTTTGTCGTCAGAAACATTCTGATGTACTTTCAGATGGAGCTGCCGTTATAATAAGATGACCCTGTAAGTTCTCTTCTTTAGTCCCTGTGGCCTGATACCACATAGAATAGTTTTTCTGTACTGGCCTATAGTGTCAGTCTGTTTTGCCATTTTTTACAAGGAAACCACAGCAGCGTGTGGACTGTTGACTGGTCCACCACATAAAACATTCAACTAAATGTTATATAACATTCAGGTAAGACTCCAACACTGTGAAGTTGAAATGGTTTTGGACTAGAGTATGACTGTCAGCTGTTGCTGTGTATTGTTATCATAAGACTCCAACACTGTGAAGTTGAAATCGTTTTGGAGTAGAGTATGACTGTCAGCTGTTGCTGTGTATTGTTATCATAAGACTCCAACACTGTGAAGTTGAAATGGTCTTACTTCTCCATAATATCTTTGAAACTGTGAATATTTAAAATTCCAAGGAAACACTTGAGCATCTTCAAGTTTCTCATCATTCTACATTAAGAAGATCAAGAATACTCTGTAAAGATTGGGACATGTCATAGGGTTGATATAACATATGTTCAGATAAACATTCGTGATGTTCTCTCTGGAATCGTGTCTTGGCACAAACCATGTTAGATCAGATGTTAAATTGTGGCTTATTAAAAGTAAAACACAAAAAATGTTTCTTTTTGACCTAATGAAATATAATATCTGTATGGGATATTTCAGTTGCCTTTTTTTGGTAACATGGGTACCATTGTCATTGTGCAAAAAAAATGTATTTTTGTTTTTTACTCTTAAAACAGTAGCACAATCTGCCTGAAGAGAAATTGAGTAGTTTGACAGAATTTTGGAACAGGCTCTTTTGAAGTCTGGATATATAAAACACAATCTAAATAATATTAAGTAATTAAAATATATAGTTTTGAAGTCCATTTCTTAAATACCAGTTAATTTTACACAGGATCTCTCACTTAACCAAAAGTGGTATGGAAAAGTTGTAAAAATCTAGGATTTATCCAATTTTGATGGAACTTGAACAGGTTGTAGCACGATATATGTCAATTACAAGTTGTAAATTAAACAAAAATTGACTGTGTAGGACTGTCCACCTCATCAAACACCCTACAGTTAATGACAGTATTTCTTGTCTTGTAGCCAATGGGTCTGCTATGAGAGCCTACTTCTTCACCCATTGTTGCATCTGTTTTTCATATCAGAGCCCAATAGATCTTCAGCAGATAACTCCAAACCCTGCTGGCTATAACTGGAACTTTGATACTCTTTCACACGCCATCATCAACCACCATTATTCCATTGATTACCTGCATGTTTAAGGTTCCGAGATGTTTGACTTGCAATCACAATGGAGTTTTTGATAGCCCTTGATGACACAAATCCACTTAACAAGCCCAACAATGCTGTGGCAGCTCTCAAAAATAGGTTTGGTGTTGACAAGAACAATAGTGAGAGCCAGATCATGAACAAAGTGTCCAACCTCAAACATATTATGAAGAAAGGTTGTATGTGTGTGTGACCATTGCTGGTAAAATGGTGAGGCCACTCCTAAACCATGTTTTTCTGTGCTCATAACTCCAAATTGAAATATGTTACAATCATGTGATTTGCATATTTGGATACAGCAAGTTCCAGACTTTCCAATGGTTTATGTAACCAATCCAAAAACGAATTACCAGAATTTCTTGTTCCTTTCTCTGTAGCTCAAAAGCACTACGTCTCTGGCCGAGGAGAGATTTTGTGTTAATAAAGAAAAGACTCAAAATTACATTATATTCATGTGCCAAGGATATCGTACAAAGCAGACATCGTGAACTCGACTAATTACGACAGACAAACTTCTAACCTAGCTAGATAAAAACTGAAGGAACATACGGATGCATTTTCTGACGTAGAGATATGCATTAGAATACAGTCTGCTAAGATACTCATTTTAAGCTGCTAGATCGATTGTACAATCTTCTGACGTACTGAAGAATAATTACATTATTAAAGCTACCCTACAGTGGTATGTACAAACATTCCTGCAAGCAAGCTTTCTAGTGGGGTTTTTCTAAAGAATTAGTAATGTTTTTTACAGTTCTTAGAACAAAATCTATTTATGAATAAAAATATTTCACATTGTATTTTATTAACGATACACATTTTTTTACCTTACATCAAAACATTTGTTGTAAGAAAATGAAGTTGAAAAACAAACTACAGAATTTTAACAAATATGTTTACTTTAGTAATTAGCATTTGTTTTTAAAACATATTTAACTTTGGACATGAATTGCTAAGCAAAAGGTTAATCGACACCTAATGCTTTTTGGGAATATTTACAAAGTTTGTAAAAATAATTATTCATAACTTTCAATTCTTTTTATAAACTTGTGACATCATATTCAGCTTCAAAACAAATTTAAGTGACATTCACAAGATCACAAACACTTGTACAATGTGTTATTCATAATACAATGAAAAAATTTAAAACATATCATGAGCATATTAAATTTCTCAAAAAAAAAGCTAATTATAAAATGGTACTTTTTTTTAATTATGATAGATAAATTATGATGTCAGAAACAATTTAAATAATTCATTGTTTCAATAATACAAGGCTTGAAAGTATAGACATGTTTTAAAAATTGGCAACATATTAAACTTTCGAACAACAAACAAATGTTAATGTACAGTATCAACTAAATCAATACTGATATAAGTTTTCTGTTAGTCACAAATTATTAGAACACTACAAGAAGGGAGGAGATAATGATTTTAACAAAAAAATTAAATAATCTCAAACGTATTTAATCTGTGCTTTTCTTTATTTATTGTCCATTTCTTCCAAGATAGAAGAAAATATTAATGATGTCCACAATCTGATAATAAATGTTTCAAACTCTTGTAAAGGAAAAATAATTGTGGTCAGCATTTCAATTAAGTAACCTCATCGTTCCCAATTTAGGTCACTTGACTAAAACATTGCCTACATAAATTATTTTACCTGTACACTAATTTTAACTATTTCTCAAAAGCAATACGCTACGTAAGTAGTTAATAAGATCTTAGCACTTGTCAACTGTAATTCAACTACTGACTTCTAACTTATTAATAAATAGGTACAAAGCTTAAGACAAGTACACAAACAATGTAACCGTAAGCATAACAAAATAAGTACAAAAATGTTGGGCAGTATATCCAGACATACAACTTTAGTTGAAGATCAGGTAGTAACTGTCCGTTAATGTTGCTTAACATAAATAAATGCTTTTATGGGCATGAGATAGATGTATAAAACAGGTTTGAAAGCTTTGTGTAGCCTGGAACACCACTCTAAAAAAAAATGGAACCAACTGAATGTGGTTAGATGCAACTGTTCCAGTAACGAACAACTCCAGAGAACATTACTGATAACAATACACAGCAACAGCTGACAGTCATACTCTAGTCCAAAACC